CACCCCCCTCCCCGCACCTCCCCTTCTCTCTTTGCCCGGGCTATTTCGAAAGGGGCTGCGAAGCAAACGAAAAGGAGGCCGTTTCGTCGAGAGCGTTGAAAACGTTTAGATACGCGAACACTGCTGCTGCTGCCGCGCGCATCAGCCGCCCCCCGGTACCGCCACCCATAGGACCCAGCCTGCGCTCAGCTCGGCCGACAGAACCAGCGAGACCCAAACGCCGGCACGGCTTCGCTCCGCTCGGCTGACGGGGTGGAGTGGAGAGGTTAGGTTCTCTGCGAGGGTGTTGGCATGCATTACATAACCGGGCTGCGTGCTCTCACCCCCTGCTCCGTCCTCCCACCTTCTCCTCCCACCTTCGCCCCCTCCCCCCTCTCCCTCCCTCCCTCTCTCTTTCTCTCTCTCTCTCTCCCTTTCTCTTTCTCTCCCTCTCTCTCTTTCTCTCTCTCGCGACAGTGGCGCCCTCCCCCCCCCAACGACGACAGACACCCCGGACGCCGGCCGCCTTAGCGACAGGTCCGTCCCGGCCGCGGCATCGGGTGTCTCAGGGCGTCGTCGCCCACCAGGACATGTCGCCTAAGACCCCAAAGCAATGGCGGGGGAGGGGGTGGTCATCCTCCGTTTACAGCCGCGAGCTCCATGACCGCTCCGGCGGAGAGGCATTTCACGAGGGGAAAGGTGGATTTTAAAATGGGACTTTTTTCCGGAAAAACATTGAAAATTTTCCAGAAAAAATGGGAAAACTTGAAATAATTTCAGAAACATTGGAAAAACATGAAACATCTTAGGAAAAAACAGGAAATTTTCAAAGAAAATTTTCGAAAAATTTCCCGCAGGCAACCCTTGTGATTCCAAGAACAACAACCTTGGCGCACGTTCAAACCCATTTAGGCTGTGCTGTTCCGTCTGCCCCCGGCTGACCCTAATCACCCCCTGATCCGCGCTCCTCAGCCGTGGCCCGAGGGGTGGTGAGGGGCGGAGGGTAACGAGCTGCACGACGGCCGAGACGCGACGAGCAGCAGCTCCGGTGGCGGGCGTGCCGATGAACGACAGGCAGAATCTCTCCTACGACCTCTTATGCCAAAAGCGACGACACAAGTGACA